AGCTATGGTTCTACATTTCAGAGGCTGCTAAACACTCGAACATCCTTTAACGATCTCGGTTTTGTATTAATGTTTGGCATCACAAATTATTAATCATTCCAGTACAATTTGAAGAAATGGAACAATTCTCATTGGGAAAACGCTTTTGGTGTTATTCTATTATGCCTTTAGTGGTTCAGCATCTCGTATTCTCACTTATTGTGATATAATCTAGTATATTCCAATGATTTATGGTTGGATTTTTCCATTAAACAATGCATCTAGCCTTTAATGAACCTATGGCTGTATGTATAGCGGTTTAGAGAAACATTTGATCTAATTTATCTCTATTTAAATGTCCCATATACATTAAAAAATACAAATGATATATTTCCTCCATCCACTTTATTATTGAAGTTGAATCACTTATAATTCCTTTCTATCAATATTTCAGTGGTGTAATAAGTACTTGTGATGTTGTATCCAAGGGAGATTATTTCCATACTTTTATAAATTCAAATGATCTGATAATACTAGTCTGGTTAAACGCTTTCAACTCGTCTTATTAAGCCAAAAAGATAGATAACAATTTATTATTTCGAACAATAGTTGAGTATTGTAACTCTATGATTAAAAAGACAACATTAGTGTAATTTTGAGATAAATGTAGATTTTTAATTTAGAGTTAGTATTCATCACGAACTGACATTAGTTGGGGGAGCCAATGATATACTTTCAGTTGGATATCACGAAGTTCTAATGAGAAGCCGTGACCCATGGGGTCAACCAGTCGGAAAGAAAGTGGATGCCAACTGAAGACCTTGGGTGATAGTCACGCTATATAATGAATTATCAGAAGTTGGAAACTGTGAACCACTGCGAACTGACCCAATAACTGAATGGTTAACGCGTTTGCCGTGAAACTTGGGTCCTGGGTTTGACCCCTGGGCGGATCGCGGGTGCGTACTGCCGAGGACAAAATAGCTGTCCAGTACTCCCAGGTTTCCAATTTTCCTCCAACTAATGTCAGTCCATGATGAATTCCTACCTAAAATCAGTTAATAAAATCTCCACAAACCTCCAGATAGAAATCTCTTACTTGTTCACAATGCATACACAAGTATGTCTGTACGCGTTACTTGTTGGTATTGTTTATACAAAATAACGTTAACCCTCCCTCCCCCCCCCCAAAAAAAAAGAGTAATAATCGCACACGTAACTCCCTATTTGTAGTGTAGTATTCACATCTGATTACTAGTATATCTATTTGTATTCAGTTTTGTGACGTTTGTCTGGGTTAGCGAGAAAAAAGAACAGCATGATTATTTCACTTTTCTTGACTTCATTGTTTGTTCTTCTGTCTATTTGAAGATTAATTTTTCGCTTTTCCTAGTAATAATATGAATTCTTCATAGATAAGGGTACATGTATTCATAGTTAGAGAGATTATTAAGAAAATCACCTGAATACATATTGCTTTGAGTGTATACTTCTGGTGAATAACTACTTCAAATTGCATGCATATTTTGAAGTAACCGTTAGTTATAATGCTGTAACTTGTGTTACATCACTCACTGGGAGGTAGGCGCACTCAGCTGATGAGCCCTAAGTAAGACGAAACGCGCATCCTGGATTCCGTTGTTAGCCACTACTCACCATTACTATAACTGTTACTTAGTTTTTTTTTTCCCGGGAGTACAGTTATTCCCCTTTTTTAATTTCTTATTTTAGTGTGCGCTTGTTTATGTAACTAGTAATACAGTCAATGATTTCATTTGTGTCATAAGTTCAAAGGAAGATTCATTTTCACTACTACCACGTGATTGACTGTATACCAATAAATTTTCCATGTGATGTTTCAAGTGTACATTATATAAATGCATATAACGATAGTAATAATCATTAATAATAATACGCTCATTACAACTAATTCTTATTACTCCTATTAATGTTCTCAATTATTCAAAAAGAAAAGGGAATGGTTGTTACAAGGACTAACTAGTTTAACGTATTCTATAGAGTAAACATACAAACTGAAGCATAAATTTATTATTAAAAATGTATCGATGCACTGTTTGAAATCAGATCATCATTGTTAAAAATTGTAACTTTGAAGTTTCATATATGAATTTGAAAAGAGCAAGAACAACAATGGGATAACATGTATTACATTGATTTCGGTGACTAGTAGAGGAATCCAGGACGCGTGCTTCGTCCTGTTTGGGACTCGTCAGCTGGATGTACCTGCACCCCAGCGAGTGGTGTTGTTCCTACTAAGGTTCGAACACAGTGCCCTCCACTTTGAATACCAGAGCGTTGTCCACTAAGCCACTGGGGGTACGATAGCTAACCTCTTAAGCAACGAGTATCAGTTTTTGTAATGATGCTTGTGATTTTCCATTGCTATACAGGGCCGAATTGTTCGACCTCTGTTGGCAGATGAGCTCTTATGCGGATGCCTCAATGTTGCCGAATATTCATGATGTTAGATAAATCTTGGTGATTAGCAGAAGGATCCAGGATGCGCTTTCCGTCCTACTTGGGATTCATCATCTGAATGTATCTGCACCACAATGAGTGATATTGGTAAGTGTAACATTATATTCGGCAGTATCGAGGCATCCGCATTGGGGCCCATCTGCCAACAGAGGTCAAGCAATTCGGCCATGTGCAGCAACAGGAAATTACAAGTACCATTACAATGGATGACAAGTATACTCATCTAACCTCGGTTTTATTTAATTTCTAGTGTTATCATTAAGTTTGTGAAATAGTGGATAAAAAACCCTAGAACTATAGCTTTTATCAATCTACTCCCCTGCAAACTGGAATTTGCTGTTGTGTTGTTAGGATGAACGTCATGTCCTTGTGGTTTCACCTTACCTATCTGTGTATATAAAGGTAAACTTGTTTATGGTACTAAAATGATTGAAATGTAGATTTAACCCCACATGATTCTTATTCAGTGAATAAAAGTTTTTGATCCCCTTTCATTGCATTAACTGTCTGTCCAAGCAACCGCATTCCATTTCAATCCAGGGAATCTGTAGTGTGTAATAAGTACTCGACTTTTAAGGAAATGGGTCATGAGTTCACACTCCATTCCATCTACAGATATTATCGTGGTTAATGTATAGGCGTGGTTGGTCTCCTTCTACGCGATCATTTACGCACTTGTTTCTGTTGACTTGCCCTACTCTACTATCAAGAGCAATTTCTCAATTATATATGTGGCTTAGAAACTGTAACCGTTTTTCTTGGAAAAGTTGAGTAATAAAGGTAAAGGAAGCAATTTAGTTAAATTAGTGACACGTCATTTAAAATGAAACTTGGCACGAGTTGGTCAACTAACAAATGTGTACAGTTTAATGTAGTGCGTTATAAGCACTAATAGAGAGAATAAAAGAGGGATTGAGGTATAACTGTGGTTCATGTATTGTGTAATAACTATGATGAACCATCTACAGAACTACAGGTTTCTTAATCGAAACTGACGGTTCAAGACTAGATAATATAGCTTATAAATTAGTCACACTAATGTAGGTGTGATTCTTTTTCTTCCTCTTCTCTAACACTCTTTTCATACCATTAGTTTTACTACTTTTATCGTATTCGTCTTATTGATTTTACTGTAATCTGCACCATAATGCTGGGTCTTACGTTACTTTTTTGTATCCAGAGCTGCCCAAAAATTCCTCGCATACTTGACTAACAAACATTTATGTTCAATAATTTACATAAACAGATGAACATCAAGGAGTTTTCGAAAATTCATAGAAGTGCAGTGTCTGTAATCAAATCTTTTGAGATTAACTTCGTCAAATGATTTACATTGATGATAAACAAGTTTTTAATATTGTAGATCTATTTTATATGATCTTTATCGAAAATCACCAAAATGAGCTGTCGAAAGGGTTAAAAGTGAAGTCTCAGTTACCGATCAACACCACAATGTATCACAGATAAACTTTCGGTATGTTGACTAATTGGTAAAGTTCAGCCTCCAAGCGGAAATAAACATGGCAAGATCCCACATGTCACTAACTTCTTCAGTTGCATCTCCTAGTCTAGAACCGCGTACACCAGGTCATGGTGTTGTGGACTGTATCAATAAGTAGTGTGAAAGCCAAGATACTCAGCTACATCATTTACTGAAAATTCTCCATTTATCCAAGATATATTTCCTTGTCTCATTTTATTTTTCTTTGAGATGGCTCATTGTTAAACATATATGCAAGAGATTGACTATTGCCTTCAGACAAAATAATACTTAGGAAACAGTAGTGACCATACTGTCAAATTCATTTTCTTCAACGCAAACGGGTAACCACTCAGCATAGCTAATCGCTTATACGTGGCTGAGTGTTTTTTAAGCGTCATAGGTAAATCAACTGGGAAAATATAAAGCCATTGGACGGTAGGATTGACACACACATACTTCAACTTGGACAGCATACTTCATTCTTGGTATATTTGGTCTGATTTACAGTGTAGTTTACACAAGTACACTAAGTTGTTGGGTAAAATTCATTAGTGTAAAATTTGGGCACTGTGGTAGAATGTAATTCCGTATTAGATTTGTTTATTTGATATATAGTGCCTAATTCTAGGAATAAACCTTAGTTTCGTCATAAGACACATTCATCAAGATAATTTCATTTGACTGGTTACTTATCAAAAAGATGATATTTCTGAAGAGCTATCATGTGAATAATTTTAATTTTCAATGGAAATGAACAGAGTTAATTACTGTTGTAATGTATCCATGTATCCAACCTGACATGATCATATCAATCATTTGTTTATTGGAATAGCCAATCGGCAATTATTTTAACATTGCCTCAAATTGATTGTTTAAAATGACCCGACATATGTATAACTCAATTTTAACTCCATAAAATTAGGTTATAAAGTATGATAATTTTGGTTTTTAAATTTTAGTCATTCAAGTTGAGCACTTTTTATAATAACTTCATTTGATCATTGAAAAAGTTGATTCTTATTTTTAAATTATACTTTAGATCCAAGGCATGCAGAAATACAATCTATGATGCACGTCAATCTTCCATTTGATTAATTATGTTTGTATAAGTTATAATTTTTATTGTCTTTGATCTCTATTTTATCTTACAACCAAAAACTCCTTTCAACTTCAATACATTCGGTCATTATCCAATAGAAAGTGATTATTCCCTTATTCCTCTTAAGTGTTGCTTTATTTCTTTTAGCATATGAAATAGGGAGGTAGAACTTGAAAAGCTGTTAATTTAGTAGTCAATCTCAAAATGAGATTTTCCTTCTTGTACACTCATTAAAAGAGTCATACTTTTCAATTAACTATCTTAAAAACAATCTCTTTACGTAAATTGCACCTATCTATTGTTGGTCAGTGAGCATTTTCTTCATTTACCTCTAATTGTATTTCAGTTCATTTTATTACCAGATATACATTTTTCTGTGTATGAATATGCTGTTAAAAATGAGTGATTGGTGGTTAATCGTTTTTGTTAATTATATAGAAAGTCAATTTCCAACAGTCTTTTTTCTTATACTTTTTGCACTACAAATTCATTTATGTTTGCTATGAAATGTCCACCAACATAAAGACTAGGACTTCTTTCTAACACTTGACAGAAAGTGATACTGTAATGGCTTTCTTCTTGGTCAGTTTTTAATAATACAGAAAATACAAGAAATATTATTTGTAACAAATAACCAGGTGATAATCGGTAAAACCCTCGATATCTGCTTATTTACCTAGCTTCAAAACCTTTAGCTAAATGTTTTCTGGAATGATTTAAACTGTATCAGCTTTATACATAAATATTAGTGTATGTATGCAATAGTGTGAACCAGATTTTGATGGATATAGTTGCACCATAAGTTACAAAAAAGTGAAACGAATATTTATGGTGTACTTTATGCCAAAGAAAATCAATCAGGAAAGATACTTACCTCACAAAATTATTGCCAAATTTACTTAATTTCGGTCAATAGTCACTAGGTTATCACTGCCAGTATCAAATACGGTTGCTGATATCGACGTACGGCTAACTTTTCTCAAAGTCTAATACCTAACAAATTTTTCATCTTACTTTGTCAAACTTTATTCATTGAATCCACGTGAAAGCTAATCATATTTACAAAAAAAGTAATCAACAAACTCTCATCTATTTTCATCCCATTAGAAGATTCTATGCACAGATTATTACCACAGTTGGATGGGAAATGAACCAAAATAAAGAGCTAACGTCTACCAATCTTATGCTTTAAGTACGCAATAACCTAGTTTTCATGCAGTGACTTAACGGCTGTAACCCTTAGATGGTGGCTAAATTTGTTCATCTTCATAATCTATTAAAGATATATCGGTTGGAATGTTTGTAACTAAAGGCCTTACCATGCCAAGAATTTGTTACAGAGCAGTGCGACTAGTAGTTACCAATCTCATTTCAACAAAAGAGTCACCCTGATCAGTGAGCCAGTGTCTCTCAAAGACGATACTATCTTCCTATTGGTCAAACAAGGGGTGGGAAGAGTGTGGTGCTCAGAATACGAAGTACGCTCAACATTTCATGGAATTTTAGTGTCGCTATTTAGTTTTTTTAAATGACTGACCTAATCAAACAAAATCTACATTTAAAATGCCGCATTTGACCAGCTTTACACAGATATCTACTGAGCTCTTCGATTATGCCCCTAGATTGGTAAGACTGTCAATACTATTCCTTTTAGAAGTTCTTCAAGAATAGGTATCATCCCATAGTTTAGGTAACAGGAAACTTGCTACCACCCAATTGAAATTCTTTGTCGTATCGAAGTTTCACGGCATGCTCCGTTAGCTAGAAATTCAGCCCTAATGTAGATATACGCTCTTCCTGATACACATGCACAACCAAGGTGTGATTTTTTATCCGACCCAGACTGCCAATGTGGCAAGTTTGAATGGTTAACCTTCAGATATCTGGAGTACAAACCACGAGTTCTTGTGGGTGGTGTCATTCTACGACAAAAGAGCCATTTCTTCCATGGCAGTCTCTCATATTCCATATCCTATTCAACTGAATGGTTTAATAAGAGTTTAGAAACACTGGCTCATGTTGATTCGCATTCTCTACTTTCTGCAGCTCTGACGAAGCGAAGGATAAACTCTACCGAAAACTATGTAACCCATAAAAAGCAAACGTATAGATGTGAGTGTGGTAGTGAACGATATTATTGCACAAATAGGAAGATGAAAGGAGGTACTTCAGTTGCACTTTCAGAGTCTAAGTTCACTAAACTAACAATACCCGCTTGCTGTAACTAAGCTCAGACAGCCTCCTATTCCTAGCTAGCAACAGACGTCGTAAGACTTTACCTCATCTGGTGATCACTGTTCTCATCCCAGTAACCCATAAAGACAAACCATATCACTATCGGATACTTCTAGCGAAAAACTGTTGAGGATTATCATCTGTTCTGGGGTGCATGTTAAACAGTGATAAGGTATTAGCTCAGGCTCGTGTTTCAACACTTTTATTGACAATGCACTATGTTATGAGTTACACTTGGAATTTAGGAATTATGGTGCTACTCAGTTGCTTATGTAGAAGTGGGATTTGAACCTAGGACCAATTGCTTGGAAGTCAAATTTTCAGGCCAATGAGCAACATTTGCACCCTAAGGGATGTAAAAAATCACAACTAAAGTTCAAAGACGATATTAACAAGTCTCTGCATAAAGAAGGATTAGAAACGCATTCACATTGACATGAGACTTTTTGAGAGAACCCTGTCTAGTTCGTTGGAAAAACTATTGTGAAGGTTTTGAGTGGCTTCATCCAACAGTCAAGTAAGGCTGGTGGATTTCGACAGCTTTTTCCAAATTTACGGACGTAGGTAGTGAATTCCTACATTGTCTGAGAACAGGAAGTTTAGGAATACTTCGATTTTAGGTAATATAACAATAGGCAAAGAAGTTTGGTGAGAGTTCAAGTTTTTAAAAAGGCAAAAGTGTTGTATTATAGTATGCAGTGGCTAAACGGACTACGGCGAGAAATCTCCGTAGTTGGCGAAACTGATTCAAAAAAGAAGCGACTGGAACGATGCATAGAATCCCGTAAAAAAAAGTACTCAAGCTCACATCCAGCTGCTGTCATTTACGCAGTATTTAATTAAAGTTTGAATGACGACTTAGGATTACACAGTGAATAAATTCAATGGCTAATGCTGTAAGCAGTCTGGAATCAGGAGAGTGATTGGTCCTGACAACCTAACACCAGTAGCATTTCAGAACGTTTCCTACGATTTTTTTTAAAGATGGACGAGTTGACCAGGATTTTCACGTAAATCATGACCTAATCATTTGTCTCAGCTTTCGATAAAGATTCTTTTGCGCTAACCAAGGATAAACTAGCTTCATATACATAATATCTAGTTCTGGAACACAGTCACGAAATGCCTAACTGGAGCTGGTAAAGATATGGTTCACTAGCTTATGCGTTCGACCTTCAAGTGATTCGTCTCAGGTTCCATGCAGACTCCACTGACTTCGGTTTGAAAGATCGGTATTACCATAAGCCTTCACACATTCAGCGTAATTCGTAGCTCAGTACATGGAACTGCATCAAGTTGAGTTGCATCATTCTACGCTAATTATAGTAAAAGTTAGAAAAAAAGGTAGGCTTCAGATAGTCATTAATGTGACCAGCTAGTATACTAATCAACACGAACCGTTACCTTTTACCTGAGTGCGACAATCGAATACCATGATTGGAAGAACTTGTGTCATGGCCATTTACCTGGTAATTATATCACCTCAGAAAAGGTTCGTGTTAAGGTCCATAGTGAACTGCCAACCATACTGACTATTCATTTCCTTTTAACTTTTGTTTCAGACACGGTTTGCACTTTCACTTGCTAGTTGAATGCTCTAATTGACAGTGGTTTTTTGAGACTGGTCTACATCAAAATGAAAAGTAGCTAGGTGGGTTTACCACGTTACTTATCTGAAAAGTCTTATCAACTTTTAGTGGATTAAACATCAACAAAGTCTCAACACATTCAAAATAATTGTTCAGTCATTATCAGCTTACTTTATCTGTTGCTTTAAAGGTGATCTCTGGATGCCGATTTGGGACTAAGTGAGTTGTTGAACACCCTCTTACAAAAAGAAGAGTATCCTGTGTTAGCATCGTTCCTAAGACTGAAGACTCTTAATTGATCAGTGTTTGTGAAAAGGAATCTAAAATTCTACAGAAAGCAGTACGCTACAGTGTTTCAATAAGAATATCATACTAGCAGATGAAGATGTTCACAATGTGGTTACCTAATATTCGTATTTCAGTCCTGCTTATGTTGAATGCACAGATGAAAATATCTGTTTCATTCAGTATGCAGAAGAAAGTATAAACTCATCATGAACCTCTAAATAATTCATTGTAAAAACGATGTAATCTTCCTAGGTTGAAAAGCCTTCTGAACAATAGTGAAATGCCCGAAATAATCTGCATGAACAGTGCATCGAGGTATACAGAGATGATGTGGTTTACACTTTATTATAAGGGATAATGCCAAAACAGTCAGCCTAATATAACCCTGAACTCTAATCAACAAGTGAACATTCTTACAGCTCGTATACGGTAACTAGGGCATCGCGAATGCGGTTGACAAAATAGCTGATAAACCAGTGGTTACTAACGCAATCAACACATGACCTGGCACAGAAGTGCACCTACTCAAATCACTAAAATTCATACAAAAAGATCAAAACGGTATCAAAGCAGAAAAAGGCGTATGAGAGAATAAATTTGAAGATAATTATTAGTGCAAGTTTTGAAGCTTTAGAAGGTACCAAAGTGAATAAATACACCCACGCCATCGTGATCAGTTCCCAGCCATATCATTGAGCGTAAAAATTTGATTCCCATCGTCTAGAGGACCCCGGCCAGGTAGTCTACACTGAGCATTCTCCCAACTTCACCCAGTATTGTACTTCGATATAGGTGGTGGTCCGGCATGGGCAGTACATGTCTAGGACCCCTAAGTCTATGAAGGCTCGCAACCTCATCGACCGACTTACCTGCCACGCCTAGTACCTTTCGCCTGACCTCAACATTGCTCACATGGTGATTCCACCATATGGCAGCAATGCTACGAAGATACATGCTCAGAAACCTGTAGTCTCTGTATATCTTCTAATTCAGTCGGCCATTTTTCATAAAAATGGACAAGTTGTCAATTCAGATGACAACTCTTTATAAGCCCTTACTCGGCTGCGTGGGTTCGATTCGACAGCATTCGTTAGCGTCACACACCTGCTTGGAAATCCATTTACAGTCAGACACCACCACTACACCTCAAAGTCGACAGAATCAAATGCCACCTTCAGATCTAGTGCATCTTCGTTCAGGTCTGAAAACTGCCTGGTTCTCTCGCGTTTGTTGTTCTCGAGAGATGCTTAGGTGTATGATAACTATGGATCCAGGGATTTCGTATACGATGCTAGTCAAACTTACTCTCATATGGTGGTCACGAATGTTCTCTCCCTTCTTAAAGACTGGAATAAATGGTGAAGTAGATCAGTGTGACAGCAGTACCTCTGATTCACATACATTAACTAGTACATCCGTCGTACTAATCAGCAATTTCATAAGTCTGTCCTTAAGCAATTCGGGTGGGGAGCTGTCAGGTCCTGCTGCTCTGCATCGTTTCACATTCGAAAAAGTCTTCTCAGTTTCGACGACAGTGGGAGGATAGACCAACATCTGCATCCAGTTCAGATTTGGGGTAGATGCGGAACAAGTATGGCGTGGCTGCGGGCTAGTTGAAAAGGGCTTCGAAGTGTTCCGCCTAACGTCCTAGCCTTCTGGTCTTAAAGGTAATGAACGTCCCCTGCACTCGGTGGTGGTTTTACTAACCATCACTTGCCTCTTACTAGTATGCCCCATAATCCAAAATAATTCTTGGGAATTACCAAATGCTCATGCTTGCTACATCTCCCTCCCTCTGACCAACCCACACTACTCAACATCATTGTGAAGACTCTTAGTTAACCTACGTTTAAGTTGCTTCCGCTCCTCACTGGAGTCACAACCAGCAGGAATGAGTCCTCTCGCATCAATCGGTTCGGATGAGGTTGCGGAAATCCACTGACTTTCGCCAACCTTCAGATATAGGTTACGAATTGTCTCAACCTCTGTTTCCTTCTACAGCAGACTGAATATTATGCCAAGTTTCCTCTGGATGACCATTGCTGTCACGCTCAGATAGGTGCTCGATAATCTTCAGCCTACACTCACACTTGACATACTCTTCATTCAATGCAGATAAAACAGGCTTCACTGCCGCCTGCTTCACCGCCATCAATAAGGCACAGACATACACGACACCATACCAACATGTGACCAGGGTTCAAACAAGTACTCCAGAAAGAACGAAAATCCTCCACCGATCCTCTCCAATGGTGACTTATGACAGTTTGATCTGTCTTTGTCTGTCGTTAATTTGATATCGACGGACACCAAGTGAGACAATGTCGCTCCCTGTGCTCGAAGTTGATGCTGGCGAGAAACAAGTGATTGTCGGAACAGAATTGTAGGGGACAGTCACCATTGTCGGTTCACTGATGTGAGACACCGTAGATACTTCTGAGATATCTTTCCCATTGGTTCAGCTTCCCTATTTGAACGCTGAAGTCACCTGCAACTAAAACTATGCGTGAATGTTTTGCTTGATGTAGCGAAATTGGCAGCTTTCAATAGGGTTCATCCTGCATGTCATCTGAACTGCAGTCGGCAAGTGCGAAGGCAGAGATTTCGAATAGACACCGTCTAGTCTCACGATGCTTTCTAGGTTTTACAGGTTTGTTCAGTCGGACAGCATACAGATGGCTATTGAGTGATATCCAGTTCAGAAGCGTGTTTTCTTCTCGAGAACTTAATTCCATACTTATACCGAAGAGTCCACGATCTGCAGCCTCTGAATCTCAGGACACGTGGATTTTTGAAATTCACAACACTAGCCAGGTGAATTCAAGTGAATAGCCATGGGTTGGGATTCGAGAGTTCTGGTGATCAGTGCCTGTTGCCCGATTCACCATAGGGTTCAGAGGTTGAAGGCTGTAATATGAAACTGAAGTTGTGCCTTGAGGGGCTAGCAGTAGTATCTCCATGGCTTTGATTGTTGGCAATGGTCACAAAGTGATGGCTTGAGGAAGTTGTAATGGCCTGACGCTAGTATCAGGAATTAAAGGTTAAGGGAAGAGACAAAAGTAGGGAGTGTTGGTTACGGTGGATCGAGTTTGGCAAAGTGCTGAAAGCGTCCAGGTAGTTGATACTTTGAGCTGTCCTCACCATGGAAAGCCATTTCTTCTTGACGTAACTGACGAGGAAGGGTTCGTGTGTGATCACAGAGCTCGTTTGGCGTCAACCTCAAGCTGGTCACCTGCGATCATTTTGCAAGTTTGAGATTTTCGTTTGTCTCCGAATCCGACTATGAACCCAGGTTGCCGACATCGGTATTTAGTGGGGTAGTGCATGTGTGCTAGTTTTGTGGCTGACCGTTCCTAATTCCCATTCCCTCAGGGAATATAGAGTCGGAGTGACACCACCGGTCATCCAAGGGAAGCATCTTGCTGTTTTCACACTCCCGTCCAGTGAGCAGTGCGACCACCCTCAGACCTCCATCATAGTGTGGTTACTTACGCCGTAACGGTGACTGATTTTCGTCTTACCACTACCCAACAGACCCTTCTCGCACAGTGGGCCTCGACGGGACACGTTTGCGCGGCATGGCTCGTTGGTTCATCGCCATACGCCAGCCTGACCATCACGTCAAGGTGTCGGCCATCGATTGGGACATGGACATATCGGTCTATTAATATGTGTGCATTTGTAAGCAAGCGCTCAAGTGTTTTGTCTGGCCTAGGTAAAATTAACTTGTTCCTTTAGTCGTGGCAGTACGCGTATCTTTCGGACTTTCCGGGACTGGATGGATAATAGAGAATGTGTTCGCTAGTGGACTAGCCTCTCCTGTTTTACTTTCATATTCAGACCCGTCAGGTTGTGTTGTTTTGCATTGTCTCGGCTTAGAAACAGATTTCTCTACTTACAGGAAGTTTAAGGACCGATATCTGCGTCGTATTCAGGCTTTTGCTGGATGCTAGTGAACTGATGCGTTGCCATATGCCGGTCGAACTGTCCTCCAAATTGTCCTGTCGTTAGAGGTTGTTAGGGTACCATCGTGAATCAGTCGACCGCGTGATGTTGTGGTAGTGTTTAACGTGGAATTGAGCCCGGAGAAAGTTTGTGACGCTGATGAGAGTTATGTATATTATATATATATATATATATATATATATATATATATATATATATATATATATATATATATATATATATATATGTAGAAGGACGACTTTCAACACATAGGTCATAGGTTCATACCTTTCTTCTCCTACCGATGTTTTGGAAGTCAGGTTTTTTTTTGCTCTTACGAAATCTGTGGGGGCATTTTCTATTGTATGAATATGCACATGGTTGATAGGTGCACTTTTAATTCTCTTTTTTCGATTTTCAATGGATATGTGCGGACGGAATGGTCGTTTTAGGCGACGACGCTGACTAATGCATCAGCTAAAGTTTGAGTATATTAATCATGTCTGTCTCCTTTTAATCTTCCCTTTCAGTCTGCAGTTACTTTCAGCTCGGTCATAAGGTTTAAAATGGCTGGTTGCGTTGACCGCTTCACTTATTCAGTTGGTTGCATTAGCTCGGACTGGCTGACCGCTTACGAAATCTCAGCTGGTATACAGAAGACTCGTTTGTCATCTGGCTACTTGTGTATTTTTTGATGCCAAAGAGTATGCTTCACTACGATTCGTTGCATCCTTTTACACGCCTATGAAAGATTGCCGACTGAATTAGAAGATATACAGAGACTACAGGTTTCTGAGCATGTATCTTCGTAGCATTGCTGCCGTATGGTGGAATCACCATGTGAGCAATGTTGAGGTCAGGCGAAAGGTACTAGGCGTGGCAGGTAAGTCGGTCGATGAGGTTGCGAGCCTTCATAGACTTAGGGGTCCTAGACATGTACTGCCCATGCCGGACCACCACCTATATCGAAGTACAATACTGGGTGAAGTTGGGAGAATGCTCAGTGTAGACTACCTGGCCGGGGTCCTCTAGACGATGGGAATCAAAATTTTTACGCTCAATGATATGGCTGGGAACTGATCACGATGGCGTGGGTGTATTTATTCACTTTGGTACCTTCTAAAGCTTCAAAACTTGCACTAATAATTATCTTCAAATTTATTCTCTCATACGCCTTTTTCTGCTTTGATACCGTTTTTATCTACTTGCATGTTACTGTGCACCTCAAACTAATGTACTTGTGAAATTCGACGTTAATTTGCCTGTCCGTACGTATTCCCAACAGGTTATATTTGGAAGTGTGACTTGACTGATATTATCGGACGTTAAGTACAAGCAGTATATGGATATATAAATGAAAAGCACACTATCAGTTTTATTCTGTTCTGACCTCTTATTAAAAACGTATGGGACGTGAAAAAAGCAGTCATAATCCAACGATCCAGACGAAGAATGTCATCAAAAAGCATTCTGTAATAGTGATAAAAAGGTGACTTGTGTAAAAGTTACGTATTCGAAAGAACAGTTATCAATATGACTACGGTTCGTGAACACAAGGGGACTATTAGTAGTGATAAGTTAGATATGGCTTATACATATCTAAATCCGTATTAGCGTTGTGTACATTGCGATACTTAAGTGGTAAAAGCAGTTTTGCGAACAAAGCCCTGGAAATCCCATTACATATGATCCAATATTCTCATAGACTTGTAGGTAAAAGCCACCATTTGTTTCCCAAAGATTCCAAACTTACTTGGTACTTTAAATCCATCAACTGCTGCAAATTTCTTAATGAACTTCCAGATTCTCAAAATTTTTAAGTGACCGCGTTCTCCGTAAGTGTTGGCCGAGAAAACTGGCTATCGTTACTAGTTCGTAAGTGATTCACCTATGTGCAAATACACATACATATGTATAAGTCGAAAAAGGTAAAGCATTCCCGTCCTTAACACCAAATTCACCCAGAAAAAGCCTGACTTCAACGAATATATAAAACAATGGCGTTGAATAAGATGTATAAATATTTTGATACATGTACAATTTAAGTGTTATGCAAATGTGCAGTAACATTAGAACCTGCCAACAGTTCGTCCGGTACCCCGTACAGGTGTGACACGTCCACGAACAAATGTTCCACGACCACGAACTAAATGGAACATTACTTCAAAAAATATCAACTTACCACCCGCTCTTAACATTGCGTTTTTACCTCTTCCTGTTCCTAAACCTTTAGCGCCTTGCGGCCGTTTCAGCATAGGAGAATTCTTCAACATATCTGGAAGGATAAGGAATCTAAAAGATTAAGTAGTAACAAATAGAACCATACCGAATTTTACTGCCACGAATGTAAACCTGTTGAAGATTGGAAGTACGTCCATCACGAGAAGTCATGATAATATCATTCATGTGAACGTTCATATTATCTTCCGCCTCAACAAGTTTCCCACGGAAAACTTCGCCACTGACAGTTTCCAGGGTAACGACATGTCCCTCAGCATCATGCAAAACTTTGATAGGAATACCAACCGACATTGCAATCACAAAATTTTTCAAACGCGCGCCGATGAGTTTGACGCTACATTTTAGTTTCAGTCATCATGATAGTAGGCCAGTTGTCCTTCAGTAATCCTTGTAGTATATATTTCTGTGAACATGTAGTTTTTCTTGGAAAGCGTTGACTGAAGGCGGTAATACTGCTTCCTAAGGTAAGCAGTCATTGATTACGCGATGTGAGAAACACAGATACGCACTCAGTTGGTTCGACCGCAGTTTTTGAGATAAGCAATCTCACCAGAAGAGAAAAATGTGACGTACCACTGTCAAAAGTATTATTAATGATACGGGATACCAGTACTTCATTATCCCGTTTACTACAGTGAGATGGAGAGAATAAGCTTGGCCGACCTGATCGTTTCTCACTGGGTGGATTCAAAAGACTTGTAAAAACCTTAGTGCCTTCTTTTTGAGCACGCATCAGCACATCAGGACCCATTCTTGAGCATAAGCTATGCGCCTTAATTCAGTATTCTAAATGTGGTCTAACGTAAAGAGAAGAGAGAATTCCGAACAAATCCCGATCGAAACTTTCGGGAAATCTGCGGATAGACCATAACACACGGAAATCCTTTGCTGCTCCTGCATTGCAGCATACTGAAGTTCCCAAGCAGTTGCTTATGATGATACCTAAATCCCTTAGTTCGAAGAATGAGAGTAGTGGTGTAGCATCAACAGAATACCGGGAACAACTGCTGTCACGAATGAGCTCTGTTGTACTTTTGCCAGAGCTGATTTCCAGGCGCCGATGTTTAGACCAACCTACCAGTTGATTCAAATCTGCTTAAAGTACATGTTTATCAGCATCAACATGTTTGACTCTCCAAACATTTATCTCATCGGGCAATAGCAGCACCGAGGAGTTGAGCATTTGCAGTGATTCGCTAACATATAAAGAGAAAAGTGGACGACCTACGACTGTTACCTGAGGAGCTACACCTATCACAGGTTTCCTTCTGGACGGTTTCTGATCAATTATCACCGCTTGCCTTCTGTCGTACAGAAAGACCCTAATTTTGCTCGTGGTACTGTACCAAACTCGAAAGAGGGCATCTTCTCTAATCAGTTCACATGAGACACTTTATCGAATGCCTTACTGAGGTCTGCAAACACGACATCGATTGACATCGTACCATCAAGGGCTGTAACCTATCCCTCTCAGAAGATGAGGAGGTTTGTCAGACATCAGTGTCTGGTATGAAGGCATTGTTGCTATAGTGTCGAAAGATTATCTGATTAAACATGGTTAAGTAGCGTATCAAGAATTATTTTCCGTAAAACCCTAATAACTATGACAGGTGGACGCACAGAGCGGTAATCAGCTGTTAACTGCGACTACTTGCCCTAAAAAGTGGGCCGATTATGGCACCTATGCAGTCTCTGCGGTGGCGAATCTGAGACGGTGACACATTGGAAAGAATAGTGACCGGTTCGGTGACAATGTCAGCTGGCAAAGTTAGCAAGCTCATATTGAACCCATCAGAGCTATAGGATAGTGGGCAAATAAGAAGATTTTACCTTGTGTACTAGCCATGTATCCAGTGGTGAGGCAGTGCTGACACCACTGCTGAGGACTTCACAAATGTATTCCGACGGGCATTCAGCTTTAGATAGATTGGATTCCAGCAGATTCCCAGGACTCTCGACCGCCCACCATAGTCTCACTGCAAGGCACAGGCATAAACGACGCCATACCAACATGTGACCAGGGTTCAAACAAGTACTCCAGAAAGAACGAAAATCCTCCACCGATCCTCTCCAATGGTGACTTATGACAGTTTGATCTGTCTTTGTCTGTCGTTAATTTGATATCGACGGACACCAAGTGAGACAATGTCGCTCCCTGTGCTCGAAGTTGATGCTGGCGAGAAACAAGTGATTGTCGGAACAGAATTGTAGGGGACAGTCACCATTGTCGGTTCACTGATGTGAGACACCGTAGATACTTCTGAGATATCTTTCCCATTGGTTCAGCTTCCCTATTTGAACGCTGAAGTCACCTGCAACTAAAACTATGCGTGAATGTTTTGCTTGATGTAGCGAAATTGGCAGCTTTCAATAGGGTTCATCCTGCATGTCATCTGAACTGCAGTCGGCAAGTGCGAAGGCAGAGATTTCGAATAGACACCGTCTAGTCTCACGATGCTTTCTAGGTTTTACAGGTTTGTTCAGTCGGACAGCATACAGATGGCTATTGAGTGATATCCAGTTCAGAAGCGTGTTTTCTTCTCGAGAACTTAATTCCATACTTATACCGAAGAGTCCACGAACTGCATCCACCGAGGCGACTGGGGCAGGTAGTTTTGGTTTGGTGGGTTGAATTTTGTATAGCAATGGAAGGGTACGTGTGGCTTTTAACTTTTTCGCTCTCCTCACAGATGAAACTGCTCCTGCAAAGAAGCTGAATGTAACGTTACATCGGTGTTGTGTGGTCCCGTAGCTCAGTTGAGATCTCTTTCTGCCTCCCAGTCATTTATTTCAAGGACTATCAGTTTGGTGTTTAGTATTCGAGACCAGACGGGAAGATTTTATTCCAACTTCTCCGAAATACCACGAAGCATAACTTCGGATGTCGGCATTTTCTGGCGCCCTCTCACTTCGCATATTGAAGTCATCATTGGCACCGTCAGTTGATCATCCGTGCACGTAGTTGATGAACATTGCCCATTGACATGTGGGGGAATTCAAATATCTACTTGAGAACCCCTGACGACAGTTATCGGAGTTTGATGGCATTAGTCCTCACATCATCCGTCTTTGTCTTGTATGATATCAGTCTTTACTATCTACTCGTTCGTTAAGTGGTGTGAATTGCAGCAACTTGGTTTCATTCCCCCCCCCTCTTGAATGGAAGCCCACCTTCATATATAAAGTGAAAGTGGCAAATATCTTTATGGGAACCTTTGCTTTGCAGCAATCGACTTGTGTTTTCGGTCACAACAACACTAACTTCCCTATATTCGGTGTCAGAGGCCACTTGCAATACAGCCTTCCGTTCTATCTGCCCGAACACTTGCCCATCTTCGTTAGACCAGAAACACACCCATTGCGAGCTCTTGAGAAACCCCATATTCAACCTCCGACATCCCTAAAAAATAGAAAATGAACCCATCATTAGTTAATCGTACTATCTGCGGGGCAAAGAAGCTTCGAGAAAATGAACTAAAGTCGGATTTTCAGCTTCATTTTACCTGAGCGAGTGCACTAGGCACTGATTCACGCGGATCCTTCGTCTACAAAGTCAAGAGTCCAACATTTACATTTCGAACATTGGTATTTTCATGAAATTAGAGACATCAGTGATAAATTTTGCAAAAAGCCAAGAATAGATAGTTTGCAAGCACATTTCCCCAAGTATTACCGCTAAACCGGTGTGACTATAACTATAACTGACCGTCTTCTTCCAGGTACCCACGTTTTCTGCACTAAGCACGCAGACCTCAGCAGCAAGTGTTCAGGCTATAAGCTGCCCTATAACCTGAAACACTAACAGAGAGTAGTGTCCGGTCAAACTTGACTAAGATAACTACTGCTCATAAGATTTTAAATGTTGGACTTATTCATGATGGCCGGCTTCTGTTTAAATGCATGACAGCTGTCGCTTGCCACGGCCTTAATAATCAAACAGTGGCTGCCTTTAATATTTTCAGTCAAGCACTCCGATTAGTGATATTACATATAATAAACCTTTCACTGTCCACACGGATATTCACCTTCTACGGGCAGTCCTTATACCAAGAACCTCCCAACCCTGACAAGACATCTCTGCGTCTCTCTGCATGAGATTATTCCTTAATCTAAAATCCTGGTCACGTCTTCGCAGAAACGGTAACTGCTTACAACAAACAAGCAGCCATACTACGAACCACTTGGTGGATGGTCAAAGACAGCCACCACGAAGTGCGCGTATTACAAACGGGAATACAGTGATTCTTTCTAAGATGAAATCTGGAAACTTATCCATCTTATATCTTTAAGCAGGGAGACCTCAGTTACAGGGAACTATATGCATACTAGACAAACAACCCAGTGTTGATTTAGATATGTCGTAGAGCTCAGGAGATGCACCCTTTCTAGTTACAGCGGTTGCCAGTAAACACGAAAACACCAACTAACCACAGATAAGCCACCCATGGATACTAGAAAGCTTATTCCCAAGGAAAAGGCATTTATAACTGAAGTACATCTCGGGACATGCAAGCAGTGTTCAAACAACAAGTAAAACTCATTGTCTTCGACATACCCTCACCCCTTAGTTGAGAAAGTGTACACTCACGCGTATTAACGCTAATTTATTGTCACAACTCCAAGCCTCCCGCGACTTGCACACAGTAGCCTTGCCGTAAACTTAAAGACAGCCTCAAAACTACCACAAAGTTAAAATACTCTCTATCTCAGTCTGTTAAACGTGTTCATTATGGTCTGGCACAGATCAGTTTAAAATCTGACGCATCACATCCTCAACAAATGTTAAGGATAAGGATGTAACCTTTTAAAAATGTAGCCTTTGCCTTAACGAAAATAAGGCAGAGAATAATCAGATATTGCCAACTCTTATTACAGCACACTTGTCTACCCCTGAAACAGACGATAACACGCATGTATTTGTTTAACGCAAAGACACCATACCACTGAACGGACAACAATCGCAGCACAATCATCAGTCAAGTGGCAAATTTCTTTAAAAAGCACTTTTTGTCTGAAATGATGCGAAAAAATGCCTCAGTGGTTTAAAGTACAGAAAGCCTAAATTACCCGTTAATCAGACAAGAAAGTAACAGTAGACCTATGCTTAGAGTCATTGATGGGGTGGCACTTAAAGCTAATGTGGGAACAATCTTACTGTCATCCGGCCAGTAGAACGACTTTGCTTTCGGACCTCCAGTCATAATGCAACTTCTTGAGTCATGATAGCAACTGTTTCTTCCCACTGTTACATAAATAACCTTTCTAGTATAGTGGAGCCCCGAAATCTGAGC